TGGCACCTCCTGTGGGTGGTGGGCCTGCAGGAGGATGGGCCCATGTCCCCTTTTCTGGCTGTGCCCAGCCGGCTCCATGGACTAATGCCTGGCCACCTGACGCTCACCCTCGGGCACCGTCCCCAGGCCTGGCTCCAGGGTGGGGCCCCAGTAACCCTATCCCAGGCAGGGTGAACTGTTCCCTCGATGGTCTTGTCATAGGGGTCTTCTGAATCGCTCTTTGTCTGGTCCCTCACCCAGGACCAATTTGCCATGGGAGACCCTATCAGGGGGGCAGAAGCCCCCAGACAACATAGCCCCTGGGACCCCTGAGACACACAAACCCCTCCACCACGATAAGGTAGCGATTCCCTTAGAGATAGGGTGAGAAGTTTGGCCATCCGGGAGGGGCTCAGAGTAGAGCCGCTACTCCTCCACATCGAAAGGAACTAGTTGAGGTGGTTCGGGCATCTGACAAGGATGCCTCCTGGGTGAGGTGTTCTGAGCATGTCCCACTGGGAGGAGGCCCCGGGGCAGACCCAGGACATGCTGGAGAGATTATATCTCTCGGCTGGCCTGGGAACGCATTGGTGTTCCCCTGGACAGCTGGAGGAGGTGGCTGGGGAGAGGGAGGTCTGGGCTTCTCTGCTTGGGCTGCTGCCCCCACGATCCGGCCTCGGATAAATGGAAGAAAATGGATGGATGGATGGATGGATGGAGGGCTGAATTATTTTAGTTCACTAATTCTAGGAGGTCAGAGTTCAGAGTTGTGATGTCATCAGTAAGCGCAGAAGAAGAAAAAACAGTGTTTGAGAGCATTGTTTGGTGATGATATGCTATGCTGCCTGTAAACTCCAAACCTGAAGTGAGGAGAATAAAGAGAATGGAGTCATGTCTCTCTGAGTGTGCAACACTTAGATATCACTCATCAAAACAACACAGTCAAAGTTGCATTTATTGTATGCAATACCATGAGGTCATAAATATTTGGTCTTCATACAAATGAAATAGCTGTCAAGCTGGGATTTAAAGTTTTTTTTATAGGGATTTGCCTATGGTCCAGTGCCATCCCAGTAATTCTTCTATTCTTCCTACTCCTTTTTAACTTGCAAACATATTCACTTAGTGTACATTAGATACCTTTTGATGTTCAATTCAGTTCAATTCAATTTTATGTATATAGCAAGAGCATTTGCTTCAAAGTGTTTTGTACTGTAAAGCAAACGACCCTAGAATAATAGAGAGAAAACCCCAACAATCAGATGACCCCCTGTGAGCAAGCATAGGGGGAGAAAAACTCCCTTTTACCAAGAAACCTCCAGCAGAGCTGGGCTCAGAGAGGGGCAGCTACCTGGGTGTGAGGGAAGTCACATGACATTTAGAAAACAAAACTTGTTCTTTGTCTTGTTAAATCAGCCTCTTAATGAGGAATATGTGCTAAACGTGAAAGTTCTGCATTAGGTGTTCTTGCTTGGTACTGATTTCCATGTATTAACAGGTACAGTAACCAGTCAACAACAATGACAGCCAACTGGAATACTGACCTCTTTGGCTGTTGTGACGACATAAAATCTTGTAAGCAACCAAAGATTTTTTTTATTTATATTTCCCTTTTATCATCATATGCTGCATTTAGATAATGTACTAAAACATAAATAAACATAAATATTGTTTCCAGGCTGCTATGGTTTCTGGTGTTGCCCTTGCCTCGCCTGTACCGTTGCAGGAATGTTTGAAGAGAACCGCTGTCTCCCATTATGTGACATCTGCAGCCCCGCTGTGTTATCAGCCTTTGGGATACCACTGTTTGTGCCTCCTGCTGCCTTGGGTCTGAGGGTTGGCGTTCGACACAAATATGGCATCCAGGTAAAACCCTATAACACTTATTAATAAAAATATTATTCTGACAGATATTTTTTAGGCTCCCACTGGTAAATTACTAACTAAGAAATGGTACAAGTAGTAAAATGAGTATAGTTACAGAATATTTCTCTACAGGGCTCTATCTGTAAGGACATCGCCACTTCCTGTGTCTGTGTGTGGTGCACCTGGTGCCAGTTGCATCGCGAGTTAAAAATTCGCAAACACGGCACCCATGTCGTCAACATGCAGCCTACACCCACTGGGAAAAATTGAGAGTTTGTTATGGCTTCGTGCTGAGGTTGCTCCTCGTTGGTGTGATCTGTCCTCTAAGATCTGTTATGTTTGGTCTCACCAAACTAATTGATATTTGGTTATGATGGTCTTGCTTTTGACCTTTCTTTTCCCTCTAAGGATTTCTGCTGTGATACACTCAAGACAAGCATCGTATGTTTTATATATGCATGGTTTTCATTGCCTCTCTGAGCTAGCTCGTGACATGTAAGTTAATTATTTTAATGCTACAATAATGATGATCATGACAATTGAGAAACTGAGATCAATGACCCTCAAACACATCTACAAAAATAAAAGTGAACTCTACTAAGTTCTTAAATCTCTGTGTGAATCTGTAACTTTTTTAGACATACTAACTTTGCATATGTAAAAGTATCTCAAACTAAATCCATCTAACCCAAAAGTCCTGTTACATGAAAAACAAAACATGCTGTAAACAAGATCAGCCCACAGTCACGGGTAATGTTGTTGTAATGTCATGCAAATGTGAAAAATACCTAAATGGAAATGTTCTATTTCAATACTTGTCTAAGAGATCATGAATATCAATTTGTCCGTGATGCTATGATTTTCATGATTACTTGAGATCGGTTTAATCCCACCATATGAAACTATGATGTCATGACAAGCAAGGAAGCAATGCTTGTCTTTCTATAAAAAGTCACCGATGCACCCATGAACATGGTTGGCTTGGTGGGCTTCCAGCTGAGAGCAGATCTTCAGAGGAGAACAACGGCAATGTTGGATTAAAATGAGTCCACAATTACAGTATGATCTGCAAATATACAGACATAATGCATCATTACACATTTTGTACACAGTCTCTAGAGTGTTGTTGTATACATTGTGTGACAGTGAGTGGCCTGACCGGTTTCAAACTCAGAACAACAAACACTTACAGCAGAACAAAAATAAACTGATAACCACTAGATTACTGTGATTCAGAGTCTTGTGTCACTGTGATTACACCTAGGTACACAAATAAAACTGCAACAGCCACAAGGTAGGTAAAATGACTGGTGAATTAGCTTTACCTGCTGATAATTATTACCATTGCTAATCTACACTGATGCCCCCCATAAATGCACTATAAACACCCTATGGACGTAACCTTACACCAAGGTCAACTGGAC